TGTTTGTTCTAAGGGAGTTGTGAATCCCTCGTTGATGAATTTCTGTATTCTTAATACCTGTTTGCTTCATACTGGGTTAATAATGTGACAAAAAAATCATCTGCTGATCATTTTCATTACATTTCCCTTACAACACAACTATACCAAGGACAAAACTGGCTTTGAACTTCACTTATGACTTGTTTTCTTTGCTACTCATATGAAGTGAAATAACTTATCAATGTATCTTATCTTTAATTGAAGTTCTATTTTACATCCCCACTAGTATTTTCAAAGTAAACATTTTCTACTGCTTTTCATATATTCTAATACACGTAGATTCTCTTCAAAAAATATTCTTATCAGTCCCACAAAATTAGTAAAATATCGAGCAAATCATCTTTATTTGTCACGCAATCGCTTCTAGGATGCCGTGACAAGCCCAAGGAATCTCTGCACAGGAGGCTTAAAACACAGATTTAATTGATATCTTGTTTGTAATTTCAAGATTTATAAGAATTAGAATCCAAGAATTTAGAACAGTATGAAGAAAATGTAACCATAAAATTCCGATAATAAACACTGGGCTTTTTTATTTATTTGTTCACGAGGCTTTTTGGTAGGTTTCGTTTTGATAAACAAAAAAATCCTTACAAAAATCAAAAGTCTCAGAGGATTAACTGCGATGACATCAAATACAAAATAAGTTCTACAAGATAGGATTTATAATCGGCAGAAGTTAACTCTCTTTGAAGTGTCAAATCTACATCATCGTTACGCCTATGGGCTCATTGTCGAGTAAAGACCAAAAGACTATACAATTATCTCCCTTGGGGTTTTTCTTTCAGGGAGGAAGGGGCCAGGGGGTATTATCGGAATTTTACAGTTAACATGTACATTTACCATGAAGATAATAACAAATCCTGCAATTATAAACTACATATTTAGAGTCTGCAGTTTGTGAAATACTAGGTTTTGGAATCAAGAACTTAAAAAAAGGATGGTAAATATGCAAAACTACTTCCCTCTTCGCCGATTAAAAAATAGAAACCATTAATAAAAACTGCTACAAGAACAAAAGCTCATTATAGGCACTGTACTGTTTTAATGATCAATAACTTGACACCTTTATTGCAGATTAGTATCCATCATTGTCCTTGGCTTTGCCATCTTAATTAACAGACCGTTTTCGATAATATTAAAATTTTGCTTGGCAGTGAGGCTTAGAGGACACAAACAAAGGGAATTGAATGACCATGTTTATTCACTCCTTTTGTTTGTCCTCTGAGCCTCACCATTAAGCTGAATTATGATATATCGAAAGTGGCCTTTGAAGAATGCTAAGGTGTTCGTATAACTTAGTAACCTCAGTTGATTGCAATCCCTACTGACCAAAATTTTTCTACTTGAAGTTTAGTGCCACTCTCAGAAAATTCACCTTCTACTGCTGGGAAACAATCTTTCATGAGGCATTTCAATTTTCAATAACAATACCATATGTTTTTTGTTTTTTTGTTTTTTTTAACATTAGTTTTATAGCTAATTTCTGGTGAAAAAAAACCTATGTAGTCATTTAGTGAATAAAGGACACGACACCCATAGATGCAATCCCTGCTAGCATCATCACCATCTGCTTGATTGATTCCCTGAAATGAACATATCGTTAATTGAAACCTGTGGCTGCTCAGCAGAATAACATACGTGTAGGATTTTATCATGAGTACCCTCCAGGAGTTATTTGCAGTGACAGACCACTGTAGGATGACATATCTGGACTTGAAAAAAGTGTCATTTGGTCATTCAGGACAAGTTAATTTTCTTACTAGGCGAGTCACTTTTCACTCTCACTCATCCGATGGGCAAGGGCCCAGGCAAGTCATCTGCCAACTAAGTAAACAAAAGTAAAACTAGGACTTGCCCAGGGGCCAGGACAAGCAAAATTGGGGAGCTGCTTGTTTGAAGGGCAAGCTCAAATTCAAAGTTTTTTTTAGCCCTGATTATACTTTCTGAATGGGAAGCATTTTTCAGTAATGAAAGCAATCCCATGTGGTATGTTTATGCTTAATGAACATTACTTATCACCTATATGTCTCCAGGTGCCTATTAGTAAGTGTTGCCTCAATTAGCCGAAGATTCACCGCCTACAGAGAAATGCAAAGATAAAGTACCTGGGTCTTGTCTCCTGCAGAAGATCAGGCACAATGGTGACCAAAGCAATGTAGATAAATCCCCCTGACGTAAATGGAAGAACCCATGCTGTTGAATCTCCTGACAAAATAAAGCACATT